TCCAGAACTGTACATTGGATCTAACTCATATCCCAGAAGGTAAAAAAGGGGTACATCCGGACAAATAGTTCCAAGGAGAGAAGCAAACTTCCTAACCACATTTCTAGTACATAGCTCACTTACCATTGGCCTTGATCACCACCCACAAACTCCTAGGCATGTTACCTATGAGGTTAGTGCAAACCTCGGCAGGGAATTTCTTGCACTCTTCCTGGACCCACCATTTTGCATAAGGGGGTGAGCACTATGTAAATCGCGAAAAAGTTGGGCGTAGGCATGAGTATTGTGGAAGATCTTTTATTGAATGGTATCTTTGAGACTAGCCATGCTGCGGTGTGGCAAAAGATGCAATTAGCCAGTCGGACCCATCTTATCACAAATCGTCTTCATCGTACTGTTGTAGGATAAAATTACGAATAGAGTAGCAAAAACTAGCGTAGAAACCGCAAAACTGAGGGTAATGTTGCATGGTTGACTGTGCATCCTGTCACCATAAAAATCACACAAGGGTCCGTAGGTGTAGTCACGATGCAGCAATCGTAGAGGCTGTGACAATTCTGGAAAAACATCACGGGCCGGCTGCAATTCGTGGAGTCGCATACTGAGTGGACAATTAATGTTCGAAAGCATGTAATCTGGTGAAATGGGACCAGCATCTACTACTTCAGCACTAATGGTCATGCGTTTGCCTGGATTCGTGAAGGCACAATCCTGCAGTACCACCAAATCAAACAGATAGGAAACCATGGGGACAAGGATTGGTGGAGGTGTGGGGATGTATGACATGTGCGCGAGTGGGGCTCATATGCAAGATTGACGGGCACATGGACCGGCCCCTGTACGAGAGAATTTTGCACGATGAGCTCGAATTAACCCTTGATTTCTATAGCATTTTCCTCACTGAGGTCATTTCGGTGCGGACAATGACTCCAAGACCTTTTCATGCCTAATGCAGGAATGACTTGGAGAACATGAGTGTGTAGCTCTGGAGTGGCCATCTTCCTCATCAAACCTCAACCTCTGGGCTTACCTGAAAAGGGGGTTGGCCAAGCATAAAAGGTATTTCTCTGGAATGCGGGAGCTTGGGAATCTGGTACAGGAAGAATGGGAGAAGATCCATGCCAAGGTTTGCTCTAGCCTTATCGACAGCACTCCTACGAAGGTGCGGGCGGTGATTAAGGCCGAAGGTCGGTGTGCTAGGTACCAGAAACATAGTTCTGAAGTTTGCTCCCTCTGGTTGGAACTATTTGTCCGGAGGTATCCTTTGTATATCTTTTGGGATATGGTTAGATCCAATGTACTATTCAGATTTTTGTGCCACGTCGGCCCTGCACCCGGTCTGGTTTAGCCCTTGGACCTTTCACAACATGGATCGGGGGGATTTTTCGGACCAACCTCGTGTTAAAGTAAGGTAGCTAGGAACAGTAGGAAGCCATAGAAGTGGCGAGAGGTTTTATGCTACGAAAGTTGACGAGAGAAAAGGGGGGTCGAGAATAGAAGAGAGAGGGATACAAGGAGGGGGGTTGTATCCTCTACAATAGGTTTTAATAACACCTACCATGCCTACCAAGGAAGAGGGGATGCAGGGGACGGAGGAAGGGGGGGGGGGGGGGGGGGGGGGCGTGGTCCAGAATCATGCCTGTGGCTGGCGAGCGGGCGGCATGTCTAACGGCGCCACAGGCGTTGCGCGGCCGGCTGCAGCCCGACGATGCCGTCACAGAGCGGCGTCGATGCCGCGGTGGGACGTCGACGCTGCGACGGCGCCATCACGCCGCCATGGCTGGACATCGACTCCACGACGGCGCGACGCCACGGCAGCGCGTCGAGACGGCCGCGGCACGACGACGCCGCCACAGCAGCACGACGCGGCCGCCATGGCAGCGCGAGAGGAAGAGAAGGAGTGTGCGGCGGAAGCGGGGGGAGCAGGCCCGGGAAGGGGAACCTGCTATGATACCATGTTAAACTAAGGTGGCTATGAACGGTAGGAAGTCATAGAAATGGCGAGAGGTTTGAGGCTTGGAAATTTGAGGAGAGAAAGAGGATATCGAGAATAGAAGAGAGAGGGATACAAGGAGGGGGGTTGTACCCTTTACAGAAGGTTTCAGTAACACCTACCAAGCCCACCAATTTTATAACAAAATATATAAACTAACACCTTGTTGGTACAAAAAGGTCCCCTTTCAATTGACATTTTGAAGTGAAATCGGGGTAGAACAATAGACAATCTTCCTCTCCTTAAGTTGCTGCCTATTTCTTAGCATTTTATGCGTTACGATAATATTATTCTATACAAAGAGCATTGTGACCATCATCCAATCCAAATACAAAGTTTCCTTCATTGGATATGTTTGCTACCACGCAGAAACGTGTCCGAGGTCAATGCCAACATCATGAAACATTTTAAAGGGGTTTCGTAATGCTAATTGTGTATAAAGGTTCCTTCGAAATTGGAGGGATTTGTAGAGCTAGCAACGAGCGCACAGCAACCCTTCTCGACAAATACCTGGGCACAACAACAAGCGTACAACGGTCGTGACTCTACAGTTTGAGGGTTTGAACTGCCAAGTTCACTGGTCGAGGAGTTGTCGCGTCTAGCCTGCGTGGTACCCTAACAACTCACTCATGTGACGCCATCCATTGCGCCTGTCTACCTCCGTTTTCCCGCGAACCCTAATTTGCGCTCTCTTGTAACGACCGTGTTCGCGGCCTCGCTATAGCAGTGAACGACCCTCATTGCGCTGTACTATTCCCAGTCATGGGTCGCTGTACGTGTTCCGCATCACGCGAGCAGGGCCTCAGATTGCAGGCTTTTTACCCTGATTCAGGGTAAAATCAGGGTTTTTTTTTTAGGTAACCCTGATGAGACAGGGTTTTTTTTTTATACGGGTCTGAAATTTCAGCGCTTTTTTAGAAGTGAACTCTGATCGATCAGCGCGACTAGTGTAGTGAGGCCTGTTTTTCCAGCGTCCTATTGGGGACCGATCCTGATACGTGTAAGAGCGTGTTCCTGCGAGCCTCTTCCCAGGCAACCTCTTCCAAGTCTCACGCGTGACCTTTAGAGCGTGTTCCCGTGTCCCCTTTTCCACATTCCCATTTCTTATTTGCGTTCCGCCACTCTCAATCGCAAAAAAACTGCTCACGCCGAAAATTTACTATACGGATTCGCGGGTGCCGGAAACGATGTTCACCTGAACAAAGGTTTTGAAATACGCCCCTGAATCTGGGCATTGCCAACCTGGCGTTGCACTTGCGGAACAGCACTGAAACATTTTACGTCAGAATTCGCGACACTGTAGCTCGCAAGTCTAGGAAGAGGCTCCCTGGGAAGAGGCTCATAGGAACATGCTCTAATTGCGGATTCCAAGCCCCAACCCCCCCACCAGTGATATCCGTGATTTCCCCTTCCACCCCCCATCAGTCACGCCAACTTGACACTGACAAGACTGTGATCAGGAACCTGTGACAAATAATGGCATGTATTCGAACAGCGTGTTTTCAGTAGTTGAGCCTGTTTATTCAGTGCAATTTTTTTACAACACCCTGATTGATCAGCGTTTTTTTTTTTTGCAAGGCCTGAAAAAACAGGGAGCTAGGGGGGGGGGGGAGCCTGAGCAATCAGCGTGCCCCAAAACGAATCTGAGGCCCTGCACGCGAGGGTTTAGTAATCACTCGACGAACGTTGTCAGTCAAGATCCCCACCTTTCATCATGCACCACGCTGGTCTTTCCCAGGTGACCATTGCTCACCTCACAATACCGCCGAATGGATGCCGCATCTATGGTCTTCTGTAGCATGTGCAAGTTAAGCTGCGCAAACGCGCAAGTGCTAGGCAGGCACCGGTCTGGAAACTCTCCCTGCGCGCCATGGCGAAACCCGTATCGGCGTGCAGAGCCTGAACCCGCCGTTCCCGGTCGCCCTGGTGTCGTGTTCGTCATCCCCTCCCGAACTCGCAAGAGCTGTGCACGTGAGGCGCAGTACGGTTCATCCCCTGCTGACGCAGATGGCCTCTCTGCTGATACACCAGCATCACCCGTGCCTAGTGACCTTCCCGAAACCGAAAACCAGGCGCTCGCTTTTGGCGGAGAGGCTAGCATAGACGAGCACATGCGCCCGTCTGCTGTTTCATCGTGTTCTTGGGACAACGCCCGCCGGGGCACACCTCCAGTGCCCCCTCCGGATTCCCCTTCTGTCCCGTCGGCGGGTTTCCCCAACATCACCATCAACCTAGCACTGCTGGGTTTGCTGAAGTTCGTAGATGGTGTCAATGGAGGAGCTGGACTAGCGAAGATGGACAGGAACCGGCTGCTTCAGCTTATCATGCACTCCGAACTAGCCCAAGCAGTGCCGATCTTTGGATTTTCACTACTCTGAAATCTGGAAGTTACTTTCCCCACTACTCTGAAAACCAGAGTGGTCCTCCACATTTACCCTGAGCCATCAGGGTAACCCTATGTTTTGGAGTTTTTTACTCTCACAAGTCAGGGTGCCTTATTTTCAACCTCTTAATAGTGTGTGTTATTAGAGACCGTGGATCTAGGGGGGCAGGTGCTCTTGCAATAAAATATAGCATTATATTCCTTCATTCACTCATCAGCATCATCAGCATCATGCCATACACACTACTAGCTGCAGGCAGCTAAAAAAATTGACATTCGTAACTGCGGCAGCTGCAAAAACTTGTCACTTGTAGTAGTAACTGATGCAATCTCACCCTGCACTGCTGCTGCAGCAAGCAGCAGGAACTCCTTACCCACAGCAGCAACAGCGGTGGTGGCGATCCTGTCACACACACATAAGCAAAGTGAGCAACAACCGTGTCACTAGTTGCGTTAGCAGTGACGGCAATCTCTGAAAATCGCAGCACTCGCAACTAACACCAGCAGTTTAATCGGAAATTCCGTCACTTAGCAGCAGCAGCTACGATCCCACTATGCACAGCAGTAGCAGCGGCGATCGTCCCATGCATGGCAGCAGCCAACAGAATTGGCGTAGTAGCGGTAGTCTCCCTCTTTTCAGTCACAAACTCCGAGCTCTTCTCCATGAATTCGAGATAATCAGGAGACCCCGGATAGACGATGTTATCAGCCACAATGATAGTTCCTGGTCCGATGAGCTTCTGGTCTCTGAGAAAAAAGAGGTTTGGTAGGTAGAGGTGCTTCACGTGATCGATGAAGACTAGATCAAATGGAACCTTGCTCGCACCTTGCCGAATTTCGTCTGTTGAAGTCTGCAGCGTGCCTGTAACGACAGTAACTTTGTCGCTGAGGCCTGCGTGAGCGACGACGCTGCGGACGACGGACGAACGGAGGTCGCTCAGCTCCACAGACACCAACCGAGCTCCCGGCTTCGAAAAGCGCGAAGCGATTCGAACCGCCGAGTACCCGCAGAACGCGTCGAGCTCGAGTGCGCTGAGGGGATTCGCGCGACGGACGGCGTCGTCTAAAATTGCACCTTTCACGTCGCCGACGTTCATGAAAAACTCCGGGCTAGACCACGCGTAGGAATCGATGGCGCTAATCACTGTTTGCGGGTCGTTCGCGGGGACTGTTTGGGTGATGTGTGTCAAACATGTGTATATCTGATGTTTGTATAGACTGTATAGGGTCGTCTCTTAGAGGGTACAACACTTAGGTATATGCACCTGTACTCTCTCTCTCTAATCAACACTTCTAAAATTCTGATATGGTATCACGCTAGGTAGGTTCCCCCCACCCACCTACCGCTTCCGCTCACCCTAGTAGCGCCCCCCCCCTTGGGCCCCGTCGCGCCCCACCCCCTTCAGGCCCCGTCGCGCCCCTCTCAGGCCCCGTCGCGCCCCTTTCTGGGCCCCGTAGCGCTCCTCCCAGGCCCCGTCGCGCTCCTCCCAGGCCCTGTCGCGCCCCTTTCTGGGCCCCGTAGCGCCCCTCCTGGGCCCTGTAGCGCTCCTCCAGGCCCCGTCGCACCCCTCCTGGGCTTCGTAGCGCCCCTCCTGGGACCCGTCGCGCCCCTCCCAGGCCCCGTCGCGCCCCTTTCTGGGCCCCGTAGCGCTCCTCCCAGGCCCCGTCGCGCCCCTCCCAGGCCCCTTCGCGCCCCTTTCTGGGCCCCGTAGCGCCCCTCCAGGCCCCGTCGCGCCCCTCCTGGGCTCTGTAGCGCCCCTCCCAGGCCCCGCCGCGCCCCTCCCAGGCCCCGTCGCGCCCCTTTCTGGGCCCCGTAGCGCCCCTCCTGGGCCCCGTAGCGCTCCTCCAGGCCCCGTCGCGCCCCTCTGGGCTCTGTAACGCCCCTCCGAGGCCCCGTCGCGCCCCTCCCAGGCCCCGTCACGCCCCTCCTGGGCCTCGTAGCGCCCCTCCTGGGCCCCCCGTCGTGCCCCTCGTGGGCCTTGTAGCGCCCCCCCCCCTCTGGGCCGCGTCGAGCCCGCCCGGCCCCGTTGCACCAGCCCGGCCCCGGCGCACCAGCCCGGCCCCGTCACGCCCGCCCGGCCCTGTTGCACCCGCCCGGCCCTGTCGCCCCTTGCCCGGCCCCGTCGCAGCCGCCCGTCCCCGTCGCGCACGCCCGGCACCTGTCGCGCCCGCCCGGCCCCAGCTGCACCCGCCCGGCCCCAGTTCCACCCGCCCGGCCCCGGCAGCACCAGCCCGGCCCCGACGCACCAGCCCGGCCCCGCCGCGCCCGCCCGGCCCTGTCGCGCCCGCCCGGCCCTGTCGCGCCCGCCCGGCCCCGTCGCACCCGCCCGGCCCCGTTGCACCAGCCCGGCCCCGTTGCACCAGCCCGGCCCCGTCGCACCCGCCCGGCCCCTGCGCTCGTCCCGGCCCCGTCCTCCTCACTGGTACGGCTCTCTCCCCACCCTGCCCTGCACTGCCCTGCCCTGCCCCGCCCCGCACCACACTGTACTGCCTTGCACCGCACTGCACCGCACTGCGCCGCACTGCACCGCACTGAACCGCACTGCACCGCCCTTCACCGCACACTACCGCACTGCACCGCACTGGACTGTTCCTGATGGCGGCGGAGCTTCGCTTCGACGCTGAAGGTCAGCCCCTAGAGTTCGAGGCGTGGCTTGCCGACCTCCGCCGCCAACTCTCTTGCCAGCGGCAGGACGGTGAACCACTTTCTGCGCACCTTGACGGTACGCTCCCCTGCCCAGACCCCCCTGCTATTCTGCCCGCTGATGCTACACCCACTGACCGCGAGTCCACTGCTGCCATTGCCCGTGCGCGCTCTGTCTGGCTTTCCCGCGATGCTGTCGCTCAGCTTGCCATTAGCAACGCCCTTCCCCCGTCCGAGCGCCCTCGCTTTAGGTCCCTCACTACTGCTCAGGCTTACTTAGATGCTGTCATCAAACGCTATTCCACCCCTCCGGCTGCCTCGGTGGGTCGCTTGATCCTCCCGATGCTCTTCCCTGATCTTGCGTCTTTCCCCACTGTCTCTGACCTCGCTGCCCACCTGCGCTCGATAGATGAGTCCTGGCGCGCTGCCTGCACTGACGCACAGCCTAGAGCCCACCAGCCACCCATTACCTCTACCCTTTACCTGCTTGCCACCCGCCTCCCTGACCGCCTTGCTGTCGCCCGCGACCGTTTCCTTAGCATTCACCCCGCAGACATCACCATCCCAGACTTTGTAGACACCCTGACTGTGATCGAGACCCGCCACCGCTCCATCGCCCAGGCGAGCGGTACAGTACCGGTCCCTATTTTTCAGGGTTGTGCCCCCGCTCAGTGTACCTTCTCCGACGGCTCTGCCGCTGTGGCTGAGACTGCTGCTGCAGCGCAGTTTCGTTCGGGGAAGGGTCGCCGCCCCAAGGTTGGGCGCGGCGGCAGCGGCGGGGGTGCGGGAGGGGGTGGTGGTGGTGTCGGGTCGTCTGGTGCTGGAGCGGACGCGGGGACCCTGCCCAGTACCACTGAGTCGCCGCCCCTGCAGTCGCAGCAGCCGCAGCCGCTGCCGACGTCGCAGCAGCCGCAGCCTTCGCAGCAGCCGTTGCAGCCGCGGCAGACGAGTGTCCTCCCGCCCGGGTGGCCCGGCGCCGGCGGCGGTCGGGCGCGTGCTGGTGTGCCGAGTGGTGGTCCTGGAGGCGTGCGTTGTCAGTACCAGATCCAGACCGGTCCTCGCCGCGGCTTCGTTTGCGGTAAGCTCGGTCACTCCACTCCCCACTGTTTCCGTCGCCTGGACGACCTGTTTTGTCAGCGCTTCGGCCCGTCGCCAGACCTCCCGGACTGGCATAGTTTGCTTAGTCGTCAGATTCAGATTTTTGACATGGACATGGATGCCATTGTTTCTGCTTTGCATGTGATGTATGCTGCCGACTCTAGTGTGTTTCCTGCTTATTACTCACTGTCGTCTAGTGTAGGTGTGCCTAGCTTAGCCTCCCCTGCTGCGTCAGGCGTAGGATCCCCTGTTTTGTGTAGTCTTGGTGCTTCCGCCGTCGTTCCGTCGCCAGACGCCTCTGCCTCGCTCTCCTTCACGTTGGACTCCGGCGCTTCTCGGTGTTTCTTCCGCGACTTCACCACCCTGACGCCGCTTCCTGTTCCTGCTGCCGTTTCTCTTGCTGACCCCTCCGGTGGTCCGGTCGTCGCCCGCAGTTCCACCACCCTTCCCTGTCCGGCGGTTGCTTCGGGTACTCTCACAGGCCTGCATATCCCCTCGTTCTCCAGGAACCTAGTTGGTGTCGGCTGCCTCCAGGACCTTGGCGTCACCACTACGTTCCTTGGTCACGAGCAGTATGCTGTCTGTACCGAGGCCGCCACAGGTGCCCCCCTGTCCACGTTCCCCCGGGATCCGGTGTCCGGCCTGTTCAGTCTGGACACCGTGACCCCCCCGGCTGGGGCGCTCCCTCAGGTGGCTGCGTCTACACAAGTTGCTGCTGCCAGCTCCTGTCGGTCCCTCACTCACCCGACCCTCCTTTGGCACCACCGCCTAGGTCACCCTGCGCTCCCGCGTCTGCGTCACATGTCTCACCACGGTCTTGTCCTTGGTCTCCCCGGTTCTCTCCCCGCGTTTCCCCCCTCCCCAGCCCCACCTTGCACGCCTTGTGTCGAGGGTCGGCTTTGCCGTGCCCCTCACTCCTCCTCGTTTCCCCCTACCGCCGCGCCGCTGCAGACTCTGCACCTGGACGTCTGGGGCCCCGCCCCCGTCCCTGGGCCTCGTCGCGAGCGCTACTTCCTTGTGCTTGTTGATGACTTTACTCGTTACACCACAGTTTTCCCCCTGGAGCGCAAGGCCGACGTGCCTGGCGCTCTCATCCCCTGGCTTGTCTCTGCGCGTGTCCACCGCGGTCTCCCTGTCTTGCGTCTTCACTCCGACCGTGGTGGCGAGTTTGCCTCAGGTGTCCTTGGTCGCTTTTGTCGTGCGGAGGGCATCACCCGGACGTTCACCCTACCGGACTCCCCACAGCAGAATGGGGTCGCTGAGCGACGCATCGGCTTGGTCATGGAAGTAGCTCGCACCTCCATGATCCATGCCGGTGCACCCCATTTTCTGTGGCCGTTTGCTGTGCGCTACGCTTCTCACCAGCTTAACCTGTGGCCGCACCCTCAGCAGCCGCAGGTTTCGCCGACCCGTCTTTGGACTGGGTCCCCGGGTGACGCGTCTGCGTTTCACGTCTGGGGCTGCCTTGCTCACGTCCGTGCCTCCGGCACGGACAAGCTCACTGCCCGCACCCTTCCCTGCGTCTTCCTCGGTTTTCCCCTTGACGCGTCCGACTGGCACTTTTACCACCCGCCGTCTCACCGCTTCTTTCACTCTCGCGACGTCACCTTTGACGAGTCCGCCTCCTACTACCGTCGCTTCCCCCACCGCGGTCCCCCGGTTACCCCCCCCTTGTTCCTGGTCCCTCCTCCGGTAGTCCCTGCCCCTCCCCCTCCTCCTCCCCGTCCTGCCCCCTCTGGTGTGTCCCACGTCACCCCCCTTCCGTCGGTGGACCCGGTTGAGGAGTCTTCTGACTCTGGTGGCCCTGCTGTGCAGTCCTCGCCGGCCGCCCCTCCCCCGGTGTCCCCTCTGCTGTCCCCTCCTCCACCGCCTCTGCCGCCGCTGCAGCCGTCGTTGTCGCTGCCGCCGCCCCCGCCGCCGTCGCAGCACCCGTTCGTTGACTCTGGGGGTGCTAGTCCCGGTAGCCCTGGGGGTGGTTCCTCTGGGGGTGCTCGTGTGGAGTGTGCCGGTGGTAGCCGAGGAGCCGCTTGCAGTCCCGGTGTCGCAGTTGTCCCGCCGCAGCAGCAGTCCCCGCCGGTGTCCGCCCTTCGCCTGCTCGGCCTTCCGTCCCCTGACCCTGTGGCTGCTTCTCTCCGGCCGTCTCCTCCTCTTCCTGTCTACGGCCCTGTGTTCCCTCCGCCGGACTCGTCCCCGGCGCGCCTTCCTCCTCGTTCTCCTCCTGTGTCCCCTCCCCTGTCTCCTGACCCGACTCCCCCGTCGCACGTCTGGTCTCACCGTCCCTCTCGTGCCCGTCCCGCCTCGCCTGTCTTGCGCTCCCACCCTATGTTACTTCGTTCCCACGCGTCTCGTCCTCCACTTCTGCCGTCTCCTCCTCCGTCCTCCCTTGTTGTTGCCCTCCCCCCATTGTCTAACTACCTTCGTGCCACTCGTCCTCTTGTTCCTCGGGTCCTTGCTTCTCTCGTTACCGACCCGTCTGTTCCGGTCTCGTGCCTTGACGCTCTTGTAGCTGCTGTAGCTGACTTCGCCTCTACCCGCCGCCTTGACTACGCTACTGCTCTGGTCTCTGACCCTGCCTGTCCTCCGTCTGTCGGGGGTGCTCCTGCCCTTGGCAGTGACGTCCTGGAGGACCGTCAGTTCGAGCTTGGTTTCCTCTCCGAGGCTGCTCCCCATCTCTGCTCCATGCTGCTAGTCCCTGAGGGTGACCCAGACGCTTTCGACATCCCGACTCCTCGCACTTACGCTGAGGCCACTTCGGGACCTTGGGCCTCTCAGTGGATAGCTGCCATGGAGCAGGAGATGGCATCTTGGAGATCCACCTGCACCTTCGTCGACGCAGTTCCCCCGCCTGGGGTGAACGTAGTCGATGGCCGCTGGCTCTTCAAGGTGAAGCGCCCTCCTGGAGAGCCGCCTGTGTTCAAGGCTCGCTACGTGGCTAGAGGCTTCAGTCAGCGTGAGGGGGTGGACTTCTTTCAGACCTTCGCTCCGACCCCGAAGATGACTACTCTTCGGGTTCTGTTGCACCTAGCTGCACAGCGTGACTACGAGCTTCACTCCTTCGACTTCTCCACTGCCTTCCTTCAGGGCAGCCTACACGAGCAGGTCTACCTGCGTCGCCCTCAGGGTTTTACTGGCACCTTCCCTCCTGGGACCCAGTGGCTCCTGCGGCGCCCCGTCTACGGCCTGCGCCAGGCTCCCCGTGAGTGGCACGACACTCTCCGTGCTACACTTGCTGACCTGCAGTTGTTTCCGTCTTCCGCCAACCCCTCACTCTTCGTTCGTGCTGGCCAGACTCCGTTCTACATCCTTGTTTACGTCAACGACCTGGTCTTTGCCACAGCAGACAGGGACGCACTGGCCTCCGTGAAGGCAGAACTGCTGAAGAGACACACCTGCACTGACCTTGGAGAACTGCGCCGTTACCTTGGTTTGCAGATCTCCAGGGACAGAGCAGCGCGCACCATCACTCTGACTCAGTCACACTTGGTGCGCCAGGTCCTTCAGAGGTTCAGCCTTCAGTTCTCCTCTGCACAGCCCACCCCTCTGCCTGTAGACCACAGACTCTCTGCTCCAGTGTCTGAGGAGTCGGTAGAGCCCAGTGGCCCCTACGCAGAGCTGGTAGGTTGCCTCATGTACCTGATGACTTGCACTCGTCCAGATCTCGCATACCCTCTCAGCATCCTGGCTCGCTTTGTGGCCACAGGCAGACACCGACCGCAGCACTGGTCTGCCGCTAAGAGGGTTTTGCGTTATCTTGCTAGTACATCAGGCATGGGGTTAGTGCTAGGAGGACGCAGGCCAGTGGTCCTTACTGGACACACAGACGCTTCGTGGGCAGACGACGCTGAGACACTCAGGTCTACACGGGGCTACTGCTTCAGCCTTGGCTCAGGTGCCGTCTCGTGGAGAGCTACCCGCTCCTCGTCTGTTGCCCAGTCCAGCTGTGAGGCTGAGATCTACGCTGGTGCCATGGCGGCACAGGAGCTCCGCTGGCTGACCTTCTTGCTCACTGACTTAGGTGAGCGGCCTAGCTCTGCCCCGGTCCTGTTCGCTGACAACAGGGCCATGATCCTCCTGTGTCAGGAGCCTAGACTCGAGGGCAGAGCGAAGCATATTCAGCTGCGGTACTTCCTCCTGCGCGAGCTACAGCAGCGACGCCAGGCACGCGTAGTACACTTGGCCTCAGGTGCCAACACAGTGGATATCTTTACGAAGGCGCTTGCGCCTAAAGATCATCAGCGGCACTGTGTACAGCTTGGTCTAGTTCTTGTAGCTTCTCACTTGCTAGGACCTTGACCTTGTACTGTTCTTTTATATGTGTACTCAGACTGGACTTGTGTCCTCTTCCAGTGGCTGGACTAGTAGTGCCGCCCTGGCCTTGTTCTTGCCTTGTCTGTACTCCTTCTGACTGGTCTTTTAGACCCTTGTCTCAGAGGTTGGACTAGTAGTGCCACCCTGAGCTGCTTGTCCAGGATATTCCCTTTATGCAGTCTAGGGGGTGTGTCAAACATGTGTATATCTGATGTTGGTATAGACTGTATAGGGTCGTCTCTTAGAGGGTACAACACTTAGGTATATGCACCTGTACACTCTCTCTCTAATCAACACTTCTAAAATTCTGATAATGTGCTCCAGAAGCCGAGCCTCCTGCCCGTCTGACTCCTGCCCCACCATCCTTTCCTCCTCGCGATTCACATAGGCTCCCTCAGGCATGGTAGACAACCAGTGGCGGAAATAGCGGCTACTCGTAGCATGTGATGTGGTGTGGTATGTTCGTGGTACACAAAATCAACTCTGAAAATCAGAGATTCAGAGTAATTTACTCGTGAAAAATAGGCACGCTGCCCAAGCCCTGGTAGATGCGAACATCTCCAATTCTCGCGATCTAAGGTCTACAGCTGGAGTATTTCGCTAGCAGTGGGCGCGGCTTCATCACTTCGACATTCTATGTCGAAGAGTTCCCACCACAGGTCATGCTGCACAGAGAACCTCTCCGGGTGAGTCATCGCTATCCCAAGCTCTGTGACCTGTTGTTTATCCAGGTACGTCCAGCATAATCGGTTGCCATACTGTGTTGGGCACCCGACCCGAACCCGACTTTTTGACGGGTCAGGTCCGTTTCCCCGTCGGGCGAACCCGACCCGTCGGGTTTGTTTTTACCCGACGGGTTGGGTCAACCCGAACCCGACATGCACAGGTTTGGGTCAACCCGACATGTCGGGTCCCCCTCCCCCCTCATGCCCCCATGCCCTCATGCCCATTGCATGCTATCCTCTGCCTCCACCCACTCGCCCACATCGTCGAGAACTTCATGCTCCAAGGTGGCGGCGCCCTGGCTGGTCTTCCTCTTCTTGCCCTTCTGCGGCTCCATCTGGGCAATCTCGAACAGGCTCATGACTGCTGCCTTCTCCACATCATCAGGGTCAGCACCTTCGGGGACCAGGTCCGGGAACCCGCTGCCCGAGATGATGACCGTCCCCGTGGGCCCGAATAACCCAGCCCTGGTGCTTCTCGTCCCAGGCGGGGAGCTGGTCGTCAGAAGACTCCTTGAGAGTCTTGCGAATAGCCGCCTTCACCTTGCGGTGGTAGGTGGCGATGTCATCAGCGTTGACACAGGCATCTGTGGGGATATGCTTCCCCCGGGCCTTGTGGTGCACGACAGCATACTCGACCTGACAGCGGGATGGAAGGGAGCGGAGGAGCGAGGGGACGGGATAGGGTGAAAGAAAAGGGGAGGGGGGTGGGAAGCCAGTAAAAATGGAGCAAGGTCAGGCCACTTATTCAAGCCAAGAACGGCAATGTGCCTTGAATAAGCATCACAGAAGGACTGCCAGGCAAAGAGAAACTACTAATAGAGGCAGTACTGCAGAGCAATTCGAACAGGCACGTACCAGGTAGAGAATGTAGGCGATGTGGTACGCCTTCACCACCGTGGCCAACCCACCCGCACCCTTCTGGAAGGCGTTGCGGACGATGAGGTCGAACAAGGCGGTGGCGAAAGGGCGGAGGATCTCCTCCGCAATGTGCCAGCGGAGGAGACCTCCCTTCTCTGCTCAGGAAAGCACACAGAGAGAGGAGGTACGCATGCCTGACAGGCCAGTGAGACATCATGCAAACACACACAAATGGCTGCCATGGCATTGAAACAGGTGCAATGATATAGCATCATACGTCGCACAAGAACTATTGCTTCGGGGAGGGGGAGTGGCAAAGGGGGGGGGAAATGAGGAACAGGGCACTAAGGCATGCTCTGGCAGGGGAGGGGGAGCGGCAGAGGGGAGGGGGAGATGAGGAACAGGGCACCAAGGCACGCTCTGGCAGGGCAGGGGGAGCGGCAGAGGGGAGGGTGAGATGAGGAACAGGGCACCAAGGCACGCTCTGGCAGGGCAGGGGTAGCAGCAGAGGGGAGGGGGAGATGAGGAACAGGGCACCAAGGCACGCTCTGGCAGGGCAGGGGGAGCGGCAGAGGGGAGGGGGAGATGAGGAACAGGGCACCAAGGCACGCTCTAGCAGGGGAGGAGGAGCGGCAGAGGGGAGGGGGAGATGAGGAACAGGGCACCAAGGCACGCTCTGGCAGGGCAGGGGGAGCGGCAGAGGGGAGGGGGAGATGAGGAACAGGGCACCAAGGCACGCTCTAGCAGGGGAGGAGGAGCGGCAGAGGGGAGGGGGAGATGAGGAACAGGGCACCAAGGCACGCTCTGGCAGGGCAGGGGGAGCGGCAGAGGGGAGGGGAAGATGAGGAACAGGGCACCAAGGCACGCTCTGGCAGGGGAGGGGGCAAGCAATTCAGACAATGGAATGCGCCAGGCAGTGGACTTACCAAGTGGTTTGACACCATCCATGTGGTATACCTGGGTGGGGGTGTGCTCCTCGTCGCACACCAACTCGCTGTAGTCGAATTTGAGGCGCGGGTTCGCCTCACACGCCAGCCCAAATGCATCAGCGAAAACCCGGCGCCCGAACATGGAGAGCCGCGCCCGCCAATCGTTGGGCTTCCGCTTCGCAGAACCCGCACGCGCTGGGCAGTACATCATCACTGCCCCCAGCGCTGGACCCTTCGCCTCACCCCACACTCCAATCAGGCACTGCATCATCAAGCTCTCCGACGGGTAGACGCTTGACTGGTCGTCAGGCTGGCGGAACATGGCGACAACCACAGCGAGCTCCATTTTTTTCTGGTGGCAGATACATATACAGTACAAAGGCGGATGAAGGAGGTGAAGAAAGAAGAAAAAGGAAACTGGTGAATCTCAGGGCAACCGAAGAGAGGGGGTGCTGGGGGTGAGGGGATTGGTGGGCGAACAAAGTTGAATAACCGCAACCATGCCTCATGATCCCCATCCCCATAGTCCCCTCCCCCAAACATTCTCACACTCAATTCCCACTCATTTCCCACACTCCCCTCCCCCAAACAATAGCACTTACGTTCCATGCCTTCCCATAGGCTGGCAGCTGCCGCATGAGAATCTGATCCCTGAGAGGAATACCGCTCAAGGAGGTGTGGAGAACCATATCGCAGACCTGGCCGTTCAGTGACGGTCGGGTAGCTGCGCTTGCGCGACGCACCGAGGGCGTTTTCACGTGCAGCACGCAGATCGGTGGCCAGGGATTGCAGGAGTCCTCTTTCGCCCGACTGAACAGCCGTGCGCTGGGATGTAGGCACAGAACGCGGTGCGCCACTGGCGATCGGAGAACCCACAGCATGTCCACTTGCAGCCTCATCCTGCGTGGAGCCTCTCGCGGCGTTGACCTGGCGCAGAAGGGACGTGATCAGCTCCGTCTGCTCACGCGCAGTTCGCTCCAGATCGGCGAGGCGACCATCGGCTGTCTGCGCCACACCGTCGCCCGTTGCTGCCGCACGGACTCCCTCCAGCGGACTCTGAGCAGGGCTTGGTGTCGATGGCGCTGCCTCAGAGCGCGCGGCGATGCTGTTCATCGTGTCCCGGCGAGCCTCGCCTGCATGCATAACCGCAGAAAAGGGATTAAGTAGTTGGCAGAAACAATGCACTGTTGAAAGCGATATATGCATATGAATGCGGAAACCAACAGATCTATTGTTAAACAGAATGTGACCAAACGCAGCTCGTACAATTGTGAACTTACCCGACGGTTTAATGGGGCGAGCACCTTCCTCCTGCCTCGGAGCCCACTGTTCCTCCTCCTCCTCATCACTAAAGTCGTCCGCATTCAATTGGACGCCCATGGGTGCAGCATCGCCGACCTCGCCACTAGGTTCAGCAACAGCAGTCGGAGCAAGGCCGACCACATCCGTTCCGGTCTTAAGAGCAGGCTGATCGTCGCCAACCGCGACGGTTTCCGGGGAGTCCACACCTCGCGTATTGCTGCCACCGACCGCCTGCAATGCACGGCCGCCAGCGATGCCACCACGCCGCACATTGCCGCCACGCAGACGACTGCCAAGGCCTCCCGCGCCACTCATCTTCGCCGTGAGCTTGATCGGGCGCTTGCCCATCTGCTCGCCACACGTAGCAGCAACCGATGCCATGAGAAAAAAGGGTGTTGGTGGTGAAAGGCTGCTGAGCGAAAAGGATGGATTTGGAACGTGAATGAATATGAAAACACAGAACCTCTAAGGACCCTTTAAAGAGGACATCGACTAATTGTGGGGACCAACGTCCAAGCAGGTGCAGCAGAACAGCGAGGAACGGCAGGTGAAAACGCCAGAGCGGAGCGCAAGGGCAGGTGAAATCGCCCATATCGACGATTTTTGCCTGCCTAGTATCAGAGGAGTCGTTCCTACCTGGCCTGGACTTTGGCGCGAAAGGACATGGGCAGTCGCCCGCGATGGCGTTTTTCCCCTGCCTAGTATCAGGGGAGTCGTTTCTACCTGGCCTGGACTTGGGTACGAAAGGGCAGGTGCAATCGCCCGCTATGGCCTTTACTCCCTGCCAAGTATCAGGGGAGTCGCTCCTACCTGGCCAAGAGTATGCCATGAAGACACAGGTGAAATCGCCATTTGCTATGGGATGTACTCTGTGTGTAGCGTTGGGGGGCTGGGGGTAGTGAGGGGGAGCCGTATCCATCATGCATGCGTGCTGGGATAGTACCCTAAACAGCAGAGAAGCCTACTGTGGGCGCCAAATAGCGAGCCCAGGTTTGGCGCGATAGATATTTGTGAGCAGGAGAACTCGAGGAAAATGGCTCACAACTGCTCTGAGGAAAATGGCTCACAACCCTCCCTAGCCAGAGGCGAGGGTCTTGAGGGTTTGAATTTGGAAGTTTGAACATCCGAATGAAAGTGACGAAGTGTCAGCCACAGGATCGAAATGCCCAATCAATCCTAGCCGTTCGAGAAGTCATTGACGACATTCACAACCAGATGCCGACGGTTCTGTTGACGAAATCTCAGATTCAATCTAGGTCTGATTTTGAATCGCAGCCGTTTATCCAGTGGGCTGCATTGCAACACTGGTAACGTTAGGCGGATCTCTGCCGTCCAACTAATATGAGTTGTAACATCTCAGCCGCTGTTTCCAAAGACCGCAAATTTCAAGCAACTTGAAAAATCTGAAAATTCTATTGGTGGAACGTTCTCCAACATTGACGTGGATGCTGCTTTCGTCGGCAAACCCCGACAATGCGTGCTCGGCGATGCATTGATTATGACAAAATGAACCAAGTAATACAGTAGCAACAGTAAGAACAGCGACAAACGAAGGCACAGGCTAGTGGATCAAAATCTGCAGAGTTCGCAGGCTCATGCATAATGTTCAATATGCACACCTCAAAAACCTCATTCATACCTGGATAAAAATGAATCTAAGGCAACATAACCAGCTTTCCTCAAATAATGGTTGGGGAAATTGTAATGAGTGCAACAAATGCCTCAAATATCGAAAATCATGGAAATCCGTGTTATTATACATATCATATCAAAAACCCTTGATACAGGTCCCATACAGGTGTGTTTCAAAATAAACTGATAATTTAGAGTTCATTTATTAAGGAGCGCCTTCTTTTAACGTTTTAGTTGTTGCATTAAGGGTTTGAGATCACTAGGCATGTCTGGTGCGCATGGTGTTCTACTTTTTTCCCAGCATAAAAATGACACCCAACAAGTCACCTACTCATAGACTAGGCTATGTAGCATGCCACAAGTCATTTTCTGAGGACAAATTGTCGTGTATATTTTCAGCAAGCTTCTATTGTCCAAAACAGTGCATGCACATAAAGGGGAAGCCACAGCGGCTGTAAATTCACAGGAAAGGCAACAAGCAGAGGCAAACGAGGGGGGAAAGAACGGATCACTGTGAGAATGCGATGCCTTGTTCCATGCATTGCCTCTTTCAAACTGTTTTTTTATTCATTGAAGGTTTGCTGTGGTGCAGTGACTGTGCCTGCCAAGTAAGGGCATGCATCTCTGAAGGAACTGGCAGATACGCACTCTGACGTGCAGCCTTATAACGTGAGAATGAGAGTGGAACTTGGTGTAAATGACATTGTTTCTCCCCTCCCAGGGCTTTTCCAGTCCGGTTTTTTTTGTCTGAAAGGTGTCATATGTTGCAATGGGGGTGTATGCCAAGTGGGGGCATGCATCCCTGAAGGAACTGGCAGATACGCACTCTGGCGTGCAGCATTAAAACAGGAGAGCGAGTACGAAACTTATTGAAAATGGCACTGTTTCTCACCTCTCGGGGCTTTTCCAGTCCTTTTTTTTGTCTGGAAGGTGTCACATGTTGCACTGGGGGTGCAGGCCAAGTGGGGGCATGCATCTCTGAAGGAACTGGCAGATACGCACTCTGGCGTGCAGCATTAAAACAGGAGATCGAGAATGAAACTTATTGAAAATGGAACTGTTTCTCACCTCCCGGGGCTTTTCCTGTCCGTTTTTTTTTGTCTGGAAGGTGTCACATGTTGCAATGGGGGTGCAGGCCAAGTGGGGGCATGCATCTCTGAAGGAACTGGCAGATACGCACTCTGGCGTGCAGCATTAAAACAGGAGAACGAGTACGAAACTTATTGAAAATGGCACTGTTTCTCACCTCCCAGTGCTTTTCCTGCCCTTTTTTTTTTGTCTCGAAGGTGTCACATGTTGCAATGGGGGTGCAGGCCAAGTGGGGGCATGCATCTCTGAAGGAACTGGCAGATACGCACTCTGGCGTTCATGATTAAAACAGGAGAATGAGGGTGGAACTTGGTGTAAATGGCACTGTTTCTCCCCTCCCAGGTTTTTTCCGATCCAGTTTTTTTTTTTTTTTTTTTAAGGTGTCATGTGTTGCAATGGGGCTTTTTTAAAAGTGGGGGCAGGCATCTCCAAAGAAAGTGGGAGATATAAAATCTGGCGCATAGCCTTAAAACTGGAGAAACTCAGTGTACATGATATTGTTGTCATATAGTCACTATTCCTAACCACTTTAGACAATGCAAAGAATGGCAAGCTGGATGAGTGAGTGCAGGCCTATCTCTCCGCCATGCCAGATTGCTCTCGCAGAAACCTCACCTTTCCCATGTTCCGTCTTGATTCTGTTGACGGAATCCTTCCTCCCCTTCCAACACTAATGCTGCAAAACACGACGTCCATCTGAATGCCGTCAAGTCATTCTTGCATTGGTACAAGGCCACATTCCGCCCCCGCTACCACACCGACAAAAGCCTGGCAAACGATGACCGATTGGCACACATGTGAGACTGCATGGCCTGTCCCGACCATATCAATTTAGTTCCTCCCCATATCCCATTTTTTCCGCCCATATCCTCTCATTTCCTGCCCCTATCCTTTCTCTTCTGGCCTTATCCTCTCATTTCCTTCCCATGTCCTCTCTATTCCGCCCATATCTGGTCAGTTCGTGCCCATATGCTCTCAGTTCGTGCCCATATCCTCTCAGTTCCTGCCCTTATCCTCTGTTTCCTGCCCATATCCTCTCAGTTCCTGCCCATATCCTCACTTCTCCGCCCATATCCACTTAGTTCCTGCCCCTATCCTATCTTTTCCGCCCATATCCACTTAGTTCCTGCCCCTATCCTATCGTTTCCACCCATATCCACTTAGTTCCTGCCCCTATCCTATCTTTTCCACCCATATCCACTTAGTTCCTGCCCCTATCCTCTCTTTTCCACCCATATCCACTTAGTTCCTGCCCCTATCCTATCTTTTCCGCCCATATCCGCTTAGTTCCTGCCCCTACCCTATCTTTTCCACCCATATCCACTTAGTTCCTGCCCCTATCCTATATTGTCCACCCATATCCACTTAGTTCCTGCCCCTATCCTATCTTTTCCACCCATATCCACTTAGTTCCTGCCCCTATCCTATCTTTTTCGCCCATATCCTCTCATCTCCTGCCCCTATCCTATCTTTTCCACCCATATCCACTTAGTTCCTGCCCCTATCCTATCTTTTCCACCCATATCCACTTAGTTCCTGCCCCTATCCTATCTTTTCCGCCCATATCCACTTAGTTCCTGCACCTATCCTATCTTTTCCGCACATATCCTCCCAGTTGCTGCCCTTATCCTCTGTTTCCTGCCCATATCCTCTCAGTTCCTGCCCATATCCTCACTTTTCCGCCCATATCCACTTATTTCCTGCCCCTATCCTCTCTTTTCCGCCCATATCCACTTAGTTCCTGCCCCTATCCTCTCTTATCCGCACATATCCTCTCAGTTCCTGCCCTTATCCTCTGTTTCCTGCCCATATCCTCTCAGTTCCTGCCCATATCCTCACTTTTCCACCCATATCCACTTAGTTCCTGCCCCTATCCTATCTTTTCCGCCCATATCCACTTAGTTCCTGCCCGTATCCTATCTTTTTCGCCAATATCCTCTCAGTTCCTGCCCCTATCCTATCTTTTCCACCCATATCAACTTAGTTCCTGCCCCTATCCTATCTTTTCCACCCATATCCACTTAGTTCCTGCCCATATCCTCTCTTTTCCGCCCATATCCACTTAGTTCCTGCCCCTATCCTGTCTTTTCCACCCATATCCACTTAGTTCCTGCCCCTATCCTATATGTTTCGCCCATATCCTCTCAGTTCCTGCCCCTATGCTATCTTTTCCACCCATATCAACTTAGTTCCTGCCCCTATCCTCTCTTTTCCACCCATATCCACTTAGTTCCTGCCCCTATCCTCTCTTTTCCGCCCATATCCACTTAGTTCCTGCCCCTATCCTATCTTTTCCACCCATATCCACTTAGTTCCTGCCCCTATCCTAACTTTTCCGCCCATATCCACTTATTTCCTGCCCCTATCCTATCTTTCCGCCCATATCCACTTAGTTCCTGCCCCTATCCTATCTTTTCCGCCCATATCCACTTAGTTCCTGCCCCTATCCTCTCTTTTCCGCCCATATCCACTTAGTTCCTGCCCCTATCCTATCTTTTCCGCCCATATCCACTTAGTTCCTGCCCCTATCCTATCTTTTCCGCCCATATCCACTTAGTTCCTGCCCCTATCCTCTCTTTTCCGCCCATATCCTCTCAGTTCCTGCCCTATTCCTCTGTTTCCTGCCCATATCCTTTCAGTTCCTGCCCATATCCTCTCTTTTCCGCCCATATCCTCTTAGTTCCTGCCCCTATCCTATCTTTTCCGCCCATATCCACTTAGTTCCTGCCCCTATCCTATATTTTCCGCCCAAATCCACTTAGTTCCTGTCCCTATCCTATAATTTTCCGCCCATATCCTCTCAGTTCCTGCCCTTATCCTCTGTTTCCTGACCATATACTCTCAGTTCCTGCCCATATCCTGTCATTTTGGCCCACATCAACCTAGTTCCTGCTCATATCCTATTTTTTCCGCCCCTATCCTCTCTTTTCCACTCATATCCACTCAGTTCCTGCCCTTATCCTAATTTTTCAGTCCATACCCTCTATTTTTCGCCCATATCCACTTAGTTCCTGCCGATATCCTCTGTTTCCGCCCATAACCTCAGTTTTCGCCTATTTCCTCTTTGTCCTGGCCAAGTCCTCTCAGTTGCCGCCCATATCCTCTATGCAAGACACTTCGCCTTAATCGTTTGGGTGTGTTCTTTCTGGCTGAGTTGGTGACAGCTTCTCAAACCCATTACCCAACCCCCCCAATCACAATCTTCCCACCCCCCCCTTCTCTCCCCCCGCAGGATGTTCGTCAAGTTGAAGGCAGCTTTCCCGAGCCAGGCCTATGTCCAGTACTATGAGCAGGTTAGGGGTGACGGCGTGACAGGTTGTAAGGCGCTCAAGTGGGCAACATTCCCCGGGACTCGGAGGTTGCACCGGGACATTGTTGATGTGGACACCATCTATTGTGCCGTCCATGTTGTAGAGTCCTTTGAGAGGCGTGGCATGTTTCTGCTGAATGATTATCTCTTTGATTGATTCTTACTAAATGTGCAACCTTGTTCTCCTTGAGCAAAGTATAATTCGATGAAGTGATTAGAATAAAGCCTGTCAAGTTTGCAGAAATTGTGCTCTAAGAAGCATAGCCCTTGAACTATATAAAAGAACCACAAATATTAATTTTCAAGTATAGACAAACATATTTGAATTACAGTGTATACAATTCGATAAGTTGAAATCTATGATTTGCGCAGGCGATCTCGCCTACTGTTCGCGTGACGAAGAAATCGCTACCGAAACTGGGTCCCTGATTTTTGCGATGACACTGCGGGGCAGCCAAGCCACCTGCGGCATCCTAACCCAGCCAGAGCAGCCCTGAATGCCACTGAGTGGGATGGAATGGGCACTGGGGGGCGGGCATGGAGTGGGCTTTTAGAGGGGGGGGGGAGAGTGGATCAGCATATATCATCTCCCCTTCCAGCGCTTGTTTGGCATTAGTAGCTCGCCGCTCGTTCCTAGTCCCAGCCCACCTGCATTCCCCCCAGAGCGAGCCTCCCACTCGTACTACTACCAGTAGCAGTGCTGATATTACCAGAACTAAGCGCTTTTTCATAGTAATGAAGCACTTTCAGGTGTGAGGCAACAACGCCCGGCAACAACGGCCGGCACCAAAAGGCCCGAGTGAGCCGTTCTCGGGGCCCATTGCCGGAACAAGCTCAGGCCACCTGGACCTTCAAGGTTTCAACGAGCTCTCTCCCTGATTTTGGAGGGGTTGTCTGAGTCAGGAGGAGTTCTGTCTGAGTCAGGAGGAGTTCCGTATGAGTCACGAGGAGTTCTGTCTGAGTCACGAGGAGTTCTGTCTGAAGAAGGAGGTTGGGCGTGCAGCCACCAAAGCCAGCACCGCAGAGTTCGGCTCAGGAGCCCTTAGTCTCTGACAGGGGCCTTGTCACCCACCCCTATCTCCCAGAGGGGGAGACGCCTGCGAGGACTTCTACAGGAGCTTGCGGAGATTGAATCAAAACCGGAGGAAAGATTCAGATCTGGGTCGTATCAGAGCTGAGCTCGTGGGTCCCATCACAGAGCTCGGTTCCCCTAATCAGAGATCCCTTGATACCTGTGTTGCCACACAATCATCGGCCCATCGTTGAGGGTTCCCGGACCGGACGCCAGAGCTCTATCCTACAGTCACATGGAGGCGGCACCGCTGGCCGCACTGCCGGTGCCTCGCAGCCAGTGGGCCAAGCAGCTGGTGGCAGCATACGGGGTTCCGCCGGGAGATAGCAGACACGACTCCAGTGACTCATACTGGGAGGGCACACGGGTGCAGAAGCGCAACCGCTGCAAGGACGATTGTGAATATGACTCTCTTGATGCTGCTGCTGGAGCTGCTGCTACTGCTGATGTTACTCATGCTGCTGCCAACTATGGCTGTCAGGCGCGTGGCTTCAAGAGCCCTAGGCCCCATGCAGCAATGTCGGCACCTTCCACGCACGAGATGTGTTCACAGCGCATAGCAGGCAGGCCCGCAGGAGCAACCCCAGGGCACCTCAGTTGCGGTGCGCTGGAACCCAAGAAAGGGATGGTGGAGAATCAACTGGGGGAGGTTTGGAACAGGTCGCAGAGTCAAGCAGCTGTTGGTGCTCCAGACCTAACGGCTCATGCTGCTGCCGCGGATCCAGCTATTACTGATGCTGCTCCAGGCTTAATGGCTCTTGCTGCTGCCGCCTCTGCTCCTGCTGCCACTCTTGACGCCACTGCTCCTGCTTCTGCTACTGCTGCTGCTGCTGCTGCTGCTGCTGCTGCTGGTGCTGCTGCTGCTGCTGGCGGTGGATCCTTGAGCGCGAGGCCAAGCTGGGCAGCTTACTTCCGAGCCAAGGAGCTGCAAGGGCTGCAGATATTCCCAGAAAATCCTCGTGAGCGCCCCACAGAGTCCAGCAGCAGCAGCAGCAGCAGCAGGAGCAGCAGCGGCGCAAACTTCAACTTCACTCCAGACACAGTCATGGCCAAGCCAGCAGAAGCTGATGCATCCTCACGTCCTGGTGATGACAGCACCGCGTGTCCTCATGAAGGCACTGCGTTTGCCACTCGATCCATCCCTGACTTGAACCTGCTTCCCTGTAGGGCTGGTGAGCTGGTGCTGGGTCAGCAGGTTGAAGCCGCCCTTGGCGTTCGTTCCGTTGGACTGGAGCCATCAGGTTGCAACCACGCCGCTCCAAGTGTGCACAGGGATGATATCCCAAGCCCTTGCTCGAAAACACTGCAGTGCACGGGTCCACATCCTCATCAGAAGCAGCAGGTGCATCAGCAGCAGCAGAGGCATCAACACGAGCACGAGCACCGTCAGCACCAGCACCAGCACCAGCACCAGCACCAGCACCAGCACCAGCACCAGCACCAGCACCAGCACCAGCACCAGCACCAGCACCAGCACCAGCACCAGCACCAGCACCAGCACCAGCACCAAGTGCAGCAGCAAGTTCAAGAGCAAGACCACAAGTTTGGACCATCGGCAGGCCTGCACGATTCAAACTGTCTAGAAGCTGATAGGAGGACGCAGCTGATAAGGGAGATCAAGGTCCAGATGTACATCTTCAGGAACTGCTGCCACTGAACTCGTGCTGCCACTGACCACGGGCTGCACTGTGAATGGGTAAAAACAAGCCCTGTGAAGGTATGGGGAACAACTAAGATCCCCTGCGTTGAAGCGCCTGACTACATATGAGGCGGAAATTAGAGCCCAGGTCCCAAGTTGCAAGGTGCGAGCGTTTTCGTTCACAAAAAGGGATCGCGTCAGACCTGGCGTGCGAAAGCTGCACCGCTTTGTACAACACTGCACCGCATTGTACCGCACTGCACCGCACTGCACCGCACTACACCGCACGGCACCGCACTGTACCGCACTGCACCGCACTGTACCGCACTACACTGCACCGTCTTGCCACTGCCCGTGACCGCTTTCTTAGCGTCCACCCTACAGACCTTACCCTCACTGACTTTGTTGACACCCTGTCCGCTATAGAGGCCCGCCACCGCTCTATCGCTCAGACCAGCGGTACTGTGCCGGTCCCTATCTTTCAGGGTTGTGCCCCCGCTCAGTGCACCTTCTCCGACGGTTCTGCTGCTGTGGCTGAGACTACCGCTGCCGCATAGGTTCGTCCGGGGAAGGGTCGCCGCCCCAAGGCTAGACGTGGCGACGGGGGTGGGGGTGCGGGTGTAGGTGGTGCTGGAATTGGGTCACCTAGTGGTGGTGCTGACGCGGGGACCCTGGCAGGTGCAGCCGAGCAGCCGTCTCAGCAGTCGCCGGACCCGCGCCAGCCGCAGCAGCCGCAGCCGCCGAAGCTGCAGCCGTCTCCGCAGCCGCAGCAGTCGCTGCAGCAGCAGAGGCGGACGAGTCGTCTTCCGCCTGGGTGGCCCGACGCTGGTGGCAGCGCTGGATGTGGTGGTGGTGCGCATGGTGGGCTGCCGAGTGGTGGTTCGGGTGCCGCGAGCTGTCAGAACCTGCTTCATACCGGTCCTCGCCGTGGCTTCGTTTGCGGTAAGATCGGTCATACCTCCGTCCGCTGTTTCCGTCGCCTGGATGACCTATTTCGTCAGCGTTTCGGCCCGTCCCCCGAGCTCCCAGACTGGCAAAGCTTGCTTAGTCGTAGGGTTCATATTTTTTATCTGGACATGGATGAGATTGTTACTGCTCTGCATGTGATGTATGCTGATGACTCTAGTGTGCTTCTGTCTTATTACCCCTCGTTAGCTAGTGTAGGTGTGCCTTCTTTAGACTCCCCTGCTGCATCAGGCGTAGGATCCCCTGCTTTGTTTAGCCTTGGTGCTTTCGTCGCTATTTCGCCTACGACCTGGTCTTCGCTACCACAGACAGGGACGCACTAGCCTTCGTGAAGGCAGAGCTGCTGAAGAGACACACGTGCACTGACCTTGGAGAACTGCGCCACTACCTTGGCTTGCAGATCTCCAGGGACAGAGCAGCCCGCACCATCACTTTGACTCAGTCACACTTGGTGCGCCAGGTCCTTCAGTGGTTCAGCCTTCAGTTCTCGTCCGCACGGCCTACTCCTCTGCCTCTAGACCACAAGCTCTCCGCTCCAGTTCCTAAGGAGTCAGCAGAGCCCAGTGGTCCTTACGCAGAGGTGGTGGGTTGCCTGATGTACCTGATGACTTGCACGCGCCCAGATCTCGCAGACCCTCTCAGCATCCTGGCTCGCTTTGTGGCTACAGGCAGACACCGACCTCAGCACTGGTCGGCCGCTAAGAGGGTTTTGCGTTATCCTGCAAGTACATCGGGCATGGGGTTAGTACTAGGAGGACGTAGGCCAGTGGTCCTTACTGGACACGCAGACGCTTCTTGGGCAGACGACGCCGAGACCCTCAGGTCCTCACAGGGCTATTGCTTCAGCCTTGGTTCAGGTGCCGTCTCATGGAGAGCTACCCGCTCCTCGTCTGTTGCGCAGTCCAGCTGTGAGGCCGAGATCTACGCCGGTGCCATGGCGGCACAGGAGCTCCGCTGGCTGACCTTCTTGCTCACGGACTTAGGTGAGCGGCTTAGCTTTGCCCCGATCCTGTACGCTGACAACAGGGCCATGATCCTCCTGTGTCAGGAGCCTCGACTCAAGGGCAGAGCGAAGCAAATACAGCTGCGGTACTTCCTCCTGCGTGAGCTGCAGCAGCGTCGCCAGGCGCGCGTAGTAAACTTGGCCTCCGGTGCCAACACAGCTGATATCTTTACGAAGGCGCTTGCGCCTAAAGATCATCAGCGGCACCGTGTACAGCTGGGTCTCGTTCCTGTAGCCTCTCACTTGCTAGGGCCTTGACTTTGTATTGTCCTTTACATATATATTTTACCCAGACTGGCCTTGTGGCCTCTCCCAGTGGCTGGACTAGTAGTGCCGCCCTGGGCTTGCTCTTGCCTTGTGTGTACTCCTTTTGACTGGTCTTTAGACCCTTGTCTCAGAGGCTGGACTAGTAGTGCCGCCCTGAGCTGCTTCTTCCCTTGTTAGGCACTGCCCCTATATAGTCTAGGGGGTGTGTCAAATGTAACTTAGGTTGTTATTGTAGACTATACTGGATTGTGCCTTAGAGGGTACAACACCCTAGTCTATATATCCTTGTACACACACATTCTAGTTCAATCATTTTCTTTCTGATAGTTCGCGTGTACTCACTGTGGCGAGCTCCAGTAAGGAATCATAATTCCTTACACTCTCCCACCTTCTAAAGGAAGGCACTCCCTTTATCGTGGCCGAACAGTCCTTAAAAGTAATCCGAGATGTGACTGTAAGTCTTCAGCCCTCTGACGAGCGTAATGATTACGCCGCCCTGACGAGGTCTTGAGGTCGAGCTACGATCGATGGTCAGAAAGTGCCAAAACGATCGCTTTTCATCCTGGTCGTCGAAGATGGTCGAATCATTCAGCTGATCGAACGGGCAAGGGTAAATACTTCAGTAGAAGACAATGAACAGTGAAACTTGTCGAGTGGTCGATTAAGAATGGTGCGTGGCAGATGAATATCTTGAAATGATGACTCGCTAATAACATAATGGTCGATGAAATGAAGTACCCGTTCAATAAAAAACATTTTATTCCAGGACCATGCGACATGCAGTGGGATAAAAAAACATTCTAGAACACTCGGCGCGAATGAGAGAGGTCGGCTGACCGCGGGTCAAACGCTGACCAATCTTAGTCTTGACTCGCACGGTGAGATCCCAGCGAACGCGAATTCTGAAGGTCCAATGAGGCAAGGCCCTCCAGTCCACCTCGGGATGGTGAGTCTTCATGAACTGCCGGCTCCAAACCTGAAGGAGGGAAATTGGGACTGCAAGGCCACGGGAGCGGTGGCTCAGAAACTTTCTATAGACAGCCTGCTCCATGTCGGGGTGCCTCGGTGTTCGCCCTGCGCCCACAAGCCTACGCCTGGAGCCCGAGGCGTGCGTCATGTCCTCTTCCTTCTTCAGCCAGCGCCTAATGCTCACCGGCTCGACACCCGCTTCCCGCGCCACCCGTCGAATGGTCAGCCCCTCGTCGCGCATCTTGTGCAGCCAGCCGATTTTCTCGGCCATGGTGCGCGATGTGCGGCGGTGCTTTGTCCTCCTAGCGCGAGACTCTGGTACGCATGCGTCAAGTGGACGCCGAGCCTCGGTGTCGTGACGCAGAATGTCTGGCGGGAATTGAGGGACGAGGAAGGAGGGACGAGGGGATTCTTCTGCGTTGGGCACACGCTCATGGGGGGTGAGGTCCTCGTCATTTGTCGGCTCCCCAAAGCCAGCAAACGTAGGCGATGGCGCAGGAGGAGCCGGAGGAGCAGGAGGCGCTGGCGGCGCGGGAGGCGCGGGGGGAGCAGGCGGCGCAGGTGGCGCTGGAGGTGCGGGCGGTGAAGGTGCTGCTGAAAAGCTGGACGGTCTGCTGTGCGAACGGGTTTGCCTAGATACGCGATTCTGCATGAGCATTTGCAGAGCCGACATGGCTGTTGCTTGGAAAAATCCTACACCTAGCGGAGAGAGAGGGGGGAGATGCCATCTCCTGGAACATCAAGCTTGCTAAAAACCCTGGTTGAAAAACAGGAAATGAGACTTGTCGCAGCGACTACCCCTCTATAAAGACGGAAAAGAGAGGGACGTGAGGCGGAGCGAGACACGACGATGGAGAGAGTCATGCCTGCCTGACACAAGAAACCTCTCAATGGGGTGGACCGTGGGGAGACTCCGTGAACGCACCTCCCCCCTCCATGTAATGACTCTTGCTGGCACTGAAGAAGCCCGCACGACGCGCCAGCGCTGTAAAGTTGGCAGCCGTCGGTGCTAAGAATCCGACGCGTGTCCATCTAGATGGCTCGGACAAAACGAGGCTAAGAATATACTTTCCCCCGTTTGAAACAAAGGACCCCCTGTATAACCCTGATTGGAATACCAGAACATGTAACAAACAAACACCTTACGTAATAAATAACTGCACATGGGTCTTATTAATTACCATCCTTTAAAATGTCCACCCAAACGATTTTCAATGAATTTTCCATAAGACCTAGGGTCATCATGCCGGGAGATTACGCTACGTCACAGGCCGGAATCTACCAACTGAATTTACTGGAATTGTCAGCGCGCGTCTCAAAACCCGTGGATCAGAACCTAAGTTTTTGGTGTTGGGGGTTTTCATCTGCCGACTTTAATTCTTGTTAAACACCTGTGGGGTGCTGTACTGCAGCTAGAATGACCTTATACTCATGGAAAACCACTTTGCAGGAAATTAATCAAGCACACAACCAAGGCACTCGCTCGCATCACGTCGTCTTCCCTTCCGGTGCAAACGACTGCATATTCCCCCCACTATCAGGTGCCAACAACCCATTCATAATCTCCAGTTCCCGTGGAGTAAGCATGCTCATCAGATCTGGACAATCAAATTCTGGGATCATCATGACCTGGAGCCTGCTGATGTCATCAGCGGTCTTGCTGATGTCATCTGGGATCAAATACAGCTCATCCAAGCACACGTCAGCAGCCGAATAATTCACCACATGTGCATCAGCCACGCCCATGGTGTCTTCTTCCGTGTCAATCTCAGCCGCAGGCTGCGGCCTTTGAGCTGCCTCGAAAGGGTTACCAGTACCAGAGTGAGGCCCTTGAGGTGCCTGAGGCCATGACCCGATGAAGCAGCTGCTGATGCTGCTCATGCTGCTGCCACAGCTTACCATGCTGCTACGTCTGTCTGAAAAGCAATTCTCAAGAAAAACGTTTTCAGTGGTGCTGTAAGTCGACATGTCGCTTTCTCCACTGCCAGGCTGCATCGCGCTGGTGTCGGCCAGCAAACGTTTCCTTCTGTCGAATCTGCTTGTAGTGGGTGCAAACAGACCGGCATGGCCTGTGGAAAGCCCCCTCGTGCAGTAAATGCTACTGGTGGTGGTGCTGCTGCTGCTGCTGTAGCTGTTGCTGCTGTTGCTGCAGTTGCTGCTGTTGCCGCTGCTGCTGCTGCTGCCGCTGCTCCCACCATCCACCATGAAAGCAGGCTGCCGCAGCAGGTGGTCTCCCTCGTAGGACTGCAACTGGGAACACCAGGGCAACCGCCTCTTTGTCTCGTATTGTTGCGAAGAAAGGTAACGGTTAGGGTTACCAGTAGCGGGACCAGGATGACAGCTGTTACTGGCAACAGCAGGGTGGTTGGGGATAACACCATTGGCCGTTACTCGACAGGCAGTCATGTAAGGGTCACCTGCTAGAGCAATTACACCACGGCTTGGTGTTGTCTGGCCACTAGCTACATCTGTCCCACAAGCAATCGGTTCAGCTGTCACAGCAGCACATACACCGGTTAAACCAGGAGTGCGAGTGGTTACGTAAGGGGCGTGAGTGGCTACGTCAGGGGCGTGAGTGGATACCTCAGGGGCGTGAGTGGTTACGTCAGGAGCATGAATGGTTACGTCAGGAGTGCAAAAGGTCAGATCAGGGGTGCATGCGAAAGTGACAGGAGCACATACAGGCATTTGGGGTGCGAGATGCTCTGTGCAGAGGAGAGATGAAGGCACCTGCCGCTGTTGGCGCTGCTGCTGCCGTTGCTGCGGCTGCTGAAGGTGCATCTGTTGCCGTTGACAACTCTGCCGCCGGACAGCTCGCAGAAGCTTCTCTTGGTCGTGCTGATACCCCACCGGCTCTGCAGGTGCTGCTGGCATCACAGCTGCCCGTGCTGCTGCTGCTGCTTCTGCTGCTAGTGCTGCTGTTGCTGCTGGTGCTGCTGGTGCTGCTGCTGGTGCTGCTGGTGCTGCTGCTGGTGCTGCTGCTGGTGGTGCTGATGGCGGTGAAGCCGCCACTAATGGCTGAACTATGCCGAAATAAGAGCTGATGGTGGCAGGGGAAGGCGGGGGAAGGGAAGGAGCATGGGGAGGAGGGAGGTGGGCGGCTCGAGGGGTCGGCGGAATGCTGTGGAGCGAAGGAACCGAGAGGTGGGTGTCGCAGTAAGCGGCTGTAGCGGCAGGGTCATGGGCGGCATTGAAAGAGGCTGTAGCAGGGGAATGGCTTGCAGTAGCAGCTGCTGCAGCAGCTGTAGCGAAAGCACGGCTAGCAGTACCCGCAGCTGCTGAAGGCGAAGCAGGCCAGCCAGCTGGTGGCTGCGACTGACTAGTGAAGAGCAACGGGTCCCCAGGCTGGAAGGACGCAGCTTGAGGCGCCTCGGCAGCTGGGAAGCAAGCGGAAGCATGCAACGGAAAAAAGGACGACTGGAGAGGACGAGGGGGAGGAGGTTGCGCTGCAGGAGGAGGAAGAGGAGGAAGTGGAGGAGGAGGAGGAGAAGGAGGAGCGGGAGTTGGCGTTGAGGGTAGAGGGGGGAGTGCAGTCGTCACATCGACAGCTGGAGTGCTGGAAAGCAGGCGGTGGAATGCAGTCTGGGTCAGCAGCTCGCTTGCAGCAGTGATGGAAACTGCAGGCGGGTGGGAGGCTGGAGGCGAGAGGCAGGAGGACGCAGGAAGGACGCTGATAGAAGCAGGAGGCAAAGGTGTCGCAACAGCAAGGGCGGCAGCAGGAAAGCAGGCTGGAGAAGGGAATGCCATAGCATCGATGGCTGTAGCAGGGGGGGTCGTTGTAGTGTTAAAGGCTGTAGCAGGAGGGAACGCCGTAGCATCGATGACTGTAGCAGTAGGGCCAAGAAGAAGGGCCTTGGGAGTATCTGGGGGGGGCGGCGGCGGCGGTGAGTGGTTATGCGAGCCAAAATACGCCGTCCGCACCACCACACGCATCTCCATCCTGTCCGGCATGCACCCGTCATCATCTGCTGTTGCAACTGTATCGGGTCTAGCCTTTGAATCGGGTGTAGCTTTTGCGCCTTTTGGCTTGCGCCACCCGGGACGGGCCTTGCCAGCCACTCGATCCTCAGTTTTTTTTGCCGGGCAGCCCGTGGAGTTTTTGGATGCGCAGACGAAATAGATTCTGCAGGCAGGGAGGCCAAACGATACGCGTTACAAGTTACAAGTGCCCGTGGTGACTATGAGAACAAGCGGAAGTGAGATAATTACAGCAAGAGTATTGACTGTTGGTCAGGAAAGTGCCAGTCGGCAAGCAGCAAACAACATGTTGTGCTTGCTATAGAAAGTTTTCTACAGCGAGCTTGCCAGCCGGCAAGTGCTTGCTGATCACTCCTCCCACTAATCGCTCCTACAGTCGAACAATGAGCCTGAAAACCACACAAGAGGTTGTGCTTGCTGGTAGCACGAGGAGAGGGGTCCATACCTCTTTACAGGCTGACCCGCAATGCGTTTGTGTGACGTCTTCTTCCAGCTGTATCTTTCAGCGTCAGCGTTGCAGTGATGCGGGTAGAATGCCTGCTCCTGCTCCTGCTGCTGCGGCGGCGGCGGCTGCGGCTGGTGCTCTTCAAGTTGTCGATGATGTGGCGGGCTTTCAGAAAATACTTCTCTCATGGGTGAATCCGATCCAGGTGCCAACTCATCATGGCACGTTGAGTCACCGATCGCTGAGTCACCATTAGCTGAGTCACTATTTGCAGAGTCACCATTTGCAGAGTCCCCTAGCGCCAGCCACTCATGTGTGGAGAGGCCCTCATTCTCCAGCGCCGGCCGCGACTGCTGCTGCTGCTGCTGCTGCTGCTGGAATGGTGGTCCTGGCAGTTGCTGAGACTTCATCCAAACACGCTGGAGCTCCAACTGCTGCTGCAATTGCCGCTGCCGCTGCTGCTGCTGCTGCTGCTGCTGTTGCTGCCGCTGCTGCTGCTGCTGCAGCTCCAGCTGGGGCTCCTGCTGCTGTTGCTGCCTGCGCAGTGGGGCGTTCCGAGTCGCAGGTTCATACTGCTTCCACAGCGACCCACATTGCTGCTGCTGCTGCTGCTGCTGCTGCTGCTGCTGATGCAGCTGAAGCAGCTGTGACTGACCAGCAGCAGCAGCACCAGCACCAGCGGCAGCAGCAGCTTGGATCGACTCCGCAGAAACCGCCGGCAACGGCGGCGGCGGCGCAAAGCGCAGCAGGGGGGACTGGTGGATCATGTCGCGGGTTGATCCACGCTCTTGCATGGCAGATGTGTCGCTGTCACTCTCTTTGAGAGTCACAGCGAACTGCTCCACTCAAGGGTACTACTAATTAGTAGCAGCGCGGTGAGGGGGCTGCAGTCGCTGTTGCCGTACTTCCAAATAGTATTTAGTAACAGGCGTTGACTGCAGCAGCCTGATCGTAGATCTCCCCGCGTCACCCCCAGTTGGCTTTCCTCGCAAGGAGCGTGTGCCGCACACGCCAGAAACGCCGGAAAACGCGGGGAGGGGGATGCGGGTAATGCGAGGAATGCGGGGAATGCGCGTTAGTAAGGGAATGAGGTCGATCTCAGCGTGGAAACGCGCTCGGCGACTTCGGGTTCAGAGATAACAGAGAGATCTTCTTGGGGTTTGAAGCCGCTAGTCACACGGGCTCACGGTGGGGCCAGAGTCTCAGATTTCGTCCGCGATGGCCACGTTCTAACTACTAGTCACGTTCCATAGTATGGACGTGGCTTCGCAACCAAAGAACTTCGTGGAATTTCTAACACACACACATTTGAAACAAGTTGTTTCCAGATTTGAAATGCCAGTATGCTCCCGCTGGCTGCTGATCGAGGTGCTGATCCGAACACTTAGCGTGCCTTTTCCTAGCACAAGTAGCATGTCGTCTGCGGCCGCGGGTAGGTTCCGACGAAACGCGACGCGACCGTCATCAATGATGGTCCTACTAACTCCGGGTGCGCTGGCAGCGCGATCGCACGATTGACAGCATATGGCGGACTCAAAGACGCGATCAAGTGTTCCAGATTAGGGGTTGCTCATTTGAGGACGAAACAGTCCCCTTCCCACATTAAATGCTCTCTGGGACCAAATGCTGCTCAGCATGCGTGACTCTCGTGAAAGGATCGGATCATCGGAGCCGAGCCATGCCACGAGTATACGAGGGACCGCGAGGGACCGAGAGGGACAGAATTCCGAATGCTGGGAGACGGGACGAGAGGAGCGATCCAGCCACTGCCACGGGTATTTCGGGAATAATGGGAGCTTTCATTATGAGTCCCACTCACGACAGTCGACGCGATGCTTCAACGTCGACATGGCGGTCGTGCGAGTGCGACTAGCCATGCCAGCCGTGGTGCTGACACCAACTGTTCAACGCGGCGGGGATTTAAGATACGGCTCTGTTGGTACTCATCAGAAGAGAGTGTGCGAGGACATGGGAGGTCCTAGCGCATCAGGCCTTCAGCTGTCAGAATCCTGCCGGGTGGCACAAGGAAAGTATGAAAGGGAAGGTGCTAGAAGAGGGTTGTTGTGTGTCCCATGTGTCAGACGCTGGCTGCGTTCTGCAGGCAGAAAAGGAAAGTGCAGATTACATCAGAGCACCTTCCTAAAGCCTGATTTTTTGCTTCGGATCGAGGGTCAGCCTGCAAAATTTCGTCCAAACCTGGCACAAGGTACCCGAACCTAGTTACATCAACATGCCTGCAGAACAGGTCCATGTACAGATGTCATCTACGTCAGGGAAACACCCCCCTCGCTCCCCTCCCTGGCAAATTTGACGCAAAGGTGACGCAATGCTGACGTTCGCTAAATCGCGGAGTTCACCTTGCGTGTGGCGTTACATCAGCCTCAATTTGGCTCCTCTCTCCTTTCGCCCGCGCTTTCCACAGTTTGGCGCGTTGCTTCCAAGCGAGGTTTGGAAAGTGCACCTGGTTTGAGTGGTAACCAGTACTCTCGAAGTCGCTTGAGGAGCTTCCTCAATGTCGACGTCGACGTCGACGTCAAATGCCTGTAGAACACAGCTGCTGTGTCCCTGGCTGGCGGCCTAGCAGGCTGAGCGCGATATCAGTCAGAGCGCGTCTCTGGCTGACACGGTGTCACGTAATCGTGTCATGGAATCGTCTTTCAGGGAAACTCCGTCGATTTGACACGATATTTCGTAACACGCTTGCCGTTGGAGACGCGCCCTCAGGTGCTGCAGCCGGGGCTTCACCGTATGACTCCGTGTCAGCCGGAGATGCTACTTGAATCTCGGTGCCTCTAATCCGTTTGAAACTTCGTGGCTCTACTCGCCACTTTTATAAAATAAGAGTTGAGCTTTGTTGGGGATTGAAGCAAGTATGGTACAGGCCAGCTTGCCCTCCACACCACCACTCCCCTAACTGGGTACAGTTTCCGCAACTCCCTCGACTGACACATACCGTCAAATTTGGCCAATGCAACAGAACCAGTACCCCTGTTGCCCGAGTCACTCACGCCTCGGTTCACTCACAAAATCTTCCCGCATCACTTCTGTTTCTAGAACGGGCAACCGTTTTGAAGTTTCCGTTTTGGAGCACATGGTGTGCACTGTTTCCACTCAAGACAACGGCAATTATGGGCCCTGATCGGTTGGCCGTATTCTGGAATAAGGATGGTGTCGAGCAATTTCTCAGGGCTGGCTCGGAATAGGCTTAGAGCCAATCAATCATTTTTATCACACCAGACCTCCTGGAATAGAGGTGTGTACCGATCACCAGAATAAGGAAGGCTGGAATACGGAATAAGGAAAGGGCACCTAGCTGCAGACTCAGGCGAAATCATGCCAACAGTTGGTCGATGTGCATTCCAGTTTTTTTCCAGAAATAGCTGGGAATAGTGAAGAATGGGGCAATCCAGACGCAATAACTAATGCCCTTATTTCGGAAATGGGAAACGTTGAATACCCAATACCAGCCTGTGTCTGACCGCCAAGAAAAGAAATCCATGGTCACATTTCGATATCAAGCCAGATGCAGTGCCCCAGATGCACAATTTGAAGCCTTGTTTCCCCTCTCCCCTTTGTTTTTCGTGACCAAGATCGTGGCGAGCAAGTTTGGAAATTTGCCAGCTCAGACGCGTCACTTACATCATGCAATTTCGCATATAAAACAGCCCAGCTTCTCGACGTCACCTAACCTGGCGAGTCAACGCGCGGAATACGGAAAGCTCGCAGCGGATTCGAATTCCGAATTCTTAATTCCGGAATATCGGCTTACCGATCAGGGCCATGGTGCTTGCCTGCCGTGACAAACCCCATTTGCCCGTCCACCTCGCCTCAAACCACTTCGCCAGAAGCTTGTGCGAAATAAGGCATCAACGTCGACAGAGTCGCAACGAACCCACGGGCTGGTTTGCGGGTTGTGTTACCCTGCTTTATGATTCTGATCACTTTCGTGAATTTCGTCATTAGGTGCAAGACATCGCAACAAAATCAAGGGGGTACCAGCTGTTAATAATCGAACAAATGTAGCCCCCCCTTCCGCCGTCCGACGATCCCGCGTATGACAAAAAGGGTAACACAAGTGCAACACTTACAGTCCCATCTGCCAGTGGCGAGGTTTGCGAAATGAGAGTGGCGTTTCGATCCCTGCCACACAAAAAACTCAAGTGACTGACTCGGGCAACATGGGTAGAGAACGAAAATCATACAGTACCAGGAAATCATGGGAATGAAATCTGCTTCTTCCTGTCCTGTTCCGTTGTGGTCCTCCATGAACCCCGCTGGCCCGAGCTCGAAAAATATCTGTACACGTCACGACGCGTGACGCGTCCCAGTTGGCGAAGGCGGACAGATCTGGGTCTCCTTCCATCCCACTCGCAATGCACATCGTTCAAAATACAACTTTATTATTTTCGCACGTGGATTAGGACAGTACACAAGGCAAACGGGAACATTACACAATACATTTTACTTTACCTCCCACGTTAGGAGTTGCTTCGTGAAAATAATTCGAAATCTAGTCTCCTGTTTAAAGCGCGGATCCCAAAACCCCTGAAGTCAAAAACTTCAGAGACTCACGAAACGCAGCAAAGGAAGCGGGTTGGACGCGAGGGGCAATGAAGGCCTCTCGAACAAAGCCCCACCTCGCCCAACATGAGTAGTGTCGTCAGCCCTCCCAGGCGACGAACTAGCACTACGCGACGTCACCCAGCCCACACCAGCACACCCAGAGCCAAAATACGTGGTCAGGAAGAACAGTAGGGAGCACGCTATGCTAAAAGAACCGGTGAAAAACCCGGCCAAGTGCAATATATGAAATTAAACAAAAGACAAGCATATAATCAACCTACAGCCAAAATTACACCGCGAGTCAATATAAATGCGTGGGCTTGCATAAGTGTACCAGCAGTAGCGACACAAGGAAACAGTGCTACGAATATTACACGGCGAGTCAAATCCCTTTTTGTTTGCACACAGGCTTATAAAATTTATTTCATAACATGCGCCTGTGAATTCCCCTAAAATCCCTGTAAGCAAATACGCGTTAAAAATCGGGTGATTATGGCACCCCCTGTAAGAGTTCATCCGTACTGTGGAAGGAAGGGGGAAGGGGGAAATGGGAGGAGTATGGGAGCAAGGGATGACAAGGAGATGGACAGAGAGATCGGGAGAGAGAGAGAGAGAGAGAGAGAGAGAGAGAGAGAGAGAGAGAGAGAGAGAGAGAGAGAGAGAGAGAGAGAGAGAGAGAGAGAGAGAGAGAGAGAGAGAGAGAGAGGGGGAGGGGGGGGGGGGGGGGAGAGAGAGGGAGAGAGAGACGAGCTCAAGAGATTTTGAGATAGGCTCGGGCTGAGCATGACTGCAGGGGGGAGGGGAGCAAGGGTACTCAGGTTCTCAGTGGAAGGGAGTTGGGGTAAGGAGGAATGGGTGGAAGGAGGGAAAGGTGCAAGGAGGGGAAGGCGGAAGAAGGGGAAGAGAAGTGCACCCAAAGGGCATGTCCCAAGGGCAGCCGTGCCTGTCCTGAAACCAGCAAAACGGGGGTGAGAAGGGAATGAGGGAGAGGAATGGGAGGAAATGGAAGGCATGAGGGGAGGAACAATGAGGAAGGGGTGAGAACTGGAGCAAGGACGAGGAACGAAAGCAGTGGGAGAATGGGAGGGGGAGCAATGAAAGCAGGGAGAGAATAGGAGGGGGAGCAATGAAAGCAGAGGGGGGAATAGGAGGGGGAGCAATGAAAGCAAGGGGAGAATGGGAGCAGGAGGGAGGAATGAAATCTGGGGGAAGAAACAAAATCGGGAGAGAGGGAGGGGGAAAAGGGGCATATGGGGGGAAGGAGAAGGGGGAGATGAGAGAGGGAGAAGCGGAGGGGAAGAGAGGGGGAAGCGGACAGGAAGAGAGGGGGAAACGCAGAGGGAGAAAGGGGAAAGCGGAGAGGGAGAGAGGGAGAAGCGGAGAAGAAGAGAGGTGGAAGTGGAGAGGAAGAGAGGGGAAGACGCTGGGATTGAGGGCAATGAGAGGGGCACGGAAGGGCGCAAAATTTGCCCTCACTCTCTCTGCCTTTTCTCTCATAATGCTGCCAGCTCCTGCGGGAAAAGAGGGTGGTTGGTTCATGGAGGGCGCCGATAATGAGGGAAAGGCATGGGTGCTGGGGGCGAGCATGAGTGCAGGGGCAAATGTTGTCTCTCTTTCCCCCTACTGTCCTCTCCCTTTCCCCCCTCCTGATCTCTCCCTTCCCCTCTCTATCACTGTTTCACCTCTCTTGTTCACTCCCTGTCTCTCTCTGGTGGCGTTGCGCATTCCTTTCTCCATTCTATCTCCCTCCCATCTCTCCTTTCACCTCTTCTTTCCTCCGTCTCTAACCCCTTCCACTCTCTCACCCTCCCACACGCCCTCCCTCCCTCCTCTCTCTTTCCCAATCCCGTTCTCTCCCTTTCCCCCTCCCCATCTCTCCCGTTCCGTGCTCTTATCCCTCCGGATCCATCCTGCCCCAGCTATCCCTCTTGTCCATCACATCCCCTGTATCCCTTCCATCCCTCCTTTCCCTCCCATCTATGGTCTCCCTGCTATCCTTGCTAACCCTCCTAACCCCGCTACTCCCCCCATCCCTGCGATCCCTCCCATCCCTACTATCCCCGCTATCCCTCCCATCCCTGCTATCCCCAGCTGTCCCTGCACGCCGTGCTCTCCCTTCTATCCCTGCTATCCTTCCTATTTCTTCCTCCTCCCTTCCACCTAGCGTCCTCTCTCCCGCCACATCCTGTCCCCTCCCCTTCCACCTCGTGCCCTCTCTCTGTCCACCCCCCGTCCTCCCCACTTCCACATCCCGGGGGTGGGGGAGGCGGGAGGAGAGAGGGGGGGGCGGAGGCAGTAGGGGGGTAGGGCGGGTGAGGGGGGAGGAGCGGGGGAGCGCCGGTGGGGGGAGGGCCGAAGCAGAGGGA